GGCCCAAACCAGGGGCATAAAATATCTCAGCAGTGCCCCATTTGTATGTGGGGTTTATTTTTTAATTTTTATCCGATAAAGGGGAGTCTGTTTTAAGGCTGGAATGTTTTTAAAAGGCCCCTTTTTCAAACCACCTTTTTCCCAGCGTAAGTACGACACAAACCCGGGAGAACCGGAACCCCAAATAAATCTTGGTTTTCAACTTTTTCGTCCCCCGGCCCCCCCTTTTTTTAATATCCCCTTCCAAGAGTTGAATAGCCCCCTACGTTAAACCCCCATATCTTACCACCCATTTTCCGTTTGTCTTTATTTTGACGTCCCCTTTAAAACCCTTTCCCCTCTGGATAGAAAAAAAACCCTTTTCCTTTTTTTCATAAAAAACCCTTTTAACCCAAAAAACTAATTTTTAATATACTACACAAGGTCACCCCTCTTTTTAATTCCCACCTTTTCCGTGTAAAAGGTCCCTTCCAAAAAAAGTCAAAAAACATTGCGTTTAAACTTTGGCGGCGAAATCGGCACACCCCGAGCTAGAGCTAGCTTCCCTACGGGTACTTAATTTTGAAAGGGAAAATTTTAAATAAATTGCACAAAATGGACACTTTTTTTAAATTTTTTTTTTAAAAATCTCCCTCCGTCTCCTGAAATTTGAAAAAAAACTGTTTTGGGAATTGGTAATACCCCAAAAAAGGCTCAAAATCACTTTTAAAATCTCTATCCAATTTCCCCCAAATTTTTGCCAAATTTTCCCAAAAAACCTAGAACCCCCCCCCCCCCCCCCCCCCCAAAAAATGCTCTCCCAGCAAAAACCCCAAATACAAACATATTTTTCTTTCCTTTGACCCTAATATTTGGGGATTAATGGAAAACCCCAAAATTTTTAAAAAAACCCCCCGAAAAAAGTTTGTTTGGGTTTGGGAGGTTATCCCCCGGAAGTGGTCATAATAAACCATGTTTCGGGGGAAAGGGGGTGAGGTCTAGGGGTTTCTTAGGTTTTTTTGTTTTAAAGTAAATGTACCCAGAGGAGGACAAAAGGGTTACCCTGCCCCCGGCTACAAAAGGGTCACCCCAGAGGGGGCTGTTGAAGTTCTATAGCCCTTCATTGAAAAACCCGTGTTTTTTTTAAAAAAAAATTATTTGGGGGGCCCTTATAAAATATATTTAGACAGTTTTATCTAAAAGGTAACTTTTTGGAGTTCCTATTTTTTTTTTTAAAAAAATTTCACTGAGGAGGAGGGTCCCCCCCCTTCCCCCTCTGGGAACCTCCACTGCCCCCCCCCCCTTTTATTATTATTAAAAATTCCCCACATAACAATAACCAATTTTTTTAGTTGTCAGTTTTTTTTATTATATTTTTTGGCCCAACCAAAAGAAAAAAAAATTTCAAAATATAAAGGTAAACCCCCAGCAACCCCCAAGTCCAAGGCTTTTTGTTTGTTAATGTGTTGATGTTCCCCAAAACCCAATAGACAAATGATTTTGCAGTGCTTTGATCGAACAGGTTTCCTGTTTTTTCCATAAGGAGGTAGGGGGGGGTGAAGTCTTTTAAAAACCCAAAAATAAAATTAACAGAGGTTTAAAAAAAAAAGCACACAACAGTATTATACTTTGTTTTTTTTTGTTTAAATGTGAATAAAAAAAACGTTTTTGAGGGTTTGGTTTTCATACAAAACCTTTTTCCCTTAACGTAAGGCCTATGGATATTATTAAAAGAGGTAAGGGGGAGGATGGTAAAATGTGATATGCATAACATAACAAAGCAATGCCCAGTTTGGGGGCCCTGAAAAAATTCTAAAGGGGGGCAATTTTTTTTTATGATTTAGGTTTACCCAAACAATTTAAAAAAAAATAGGGCCCCGCAACAAAATATGAAAACGGGGCAAACATATAAGGCAATCCAGAAGCCTTTATTTATGATCTGGGGGGATGGATTTCCCGTTTTTGTGACCCTTTTTAAAAAAACTCTGATGCCTTTTTTAATTAGCTTTTTTGGGGGGAAATTTTCTGTTAGTAAAAAAATAATGTTATTTGGTTGGGCTGACTAAAATCTTTTTGCATGACCCATTTTTTTGTTTTGGGGCCCTTTTTTTTTCAAACAAAAGGGAAAAAAGTCCATCTTTTCAGCCTTTTTCAGAAAGGGGGCAAGGGAAAAAAACCCCCCCCAGGGTTTTCTCTTCTTTCCAACTCAAGGTTTTGCCCCCCGAGGGCACACACACACCCACACACAAAACCAAAACACACAAAACCCCAACACACCAAACCCCTCTTTACGAAAACCACCAAAACACACCAAAACACAAAACCACACACCAACACACAAAACCACACACACCACCAAACCCCTCATCAATGATAACAAACACCACACACACTGAGAACAAAAAACACACACACACACACACAAATCCTCTTCTCTTGGTTGGGAAAACTGAAGACGAGAAAACCCGGGCTCAGAGCCAAGCCCCAAAAGTGACCCTAGCCTGGAGGTGACCCCGGGCCCCCAAATCATTTAGGAAACCCAAACAGAAGATCAGAACTACTAGATAACCTACTTCATTTTTATTTTATAAAAAGTCCGCACACAATGGTTTTTGGGGTCTTCGATAAACTCCCACGAGTTTTTACGAACGGGGCCGTGCAAAGCGTTCCAAAAATATCTTTACCTCTGAAAAAAGCCTTATATTATATAAAATTTTCCACCTTGTTTCCCAAAAGGGCTCTACTTGGGCTCCCCCCTTTTTTCCCGTTTAAAATTGTTTTAAACAACATAAAGTAAGGGTTTTTTGGGCAAAAGAAAGCAGTTCAATGTCCGGGGTACAGGGGTGCTCCCCTTCCAGGACGCGGTCCCTTCCCGACCCCGGGGGAACCGGGGGGCTCCCCCCTCTCTGTCCGGGACCTTTTCAACCAGCCAAGTTCCCCCCGCTGTTTGGGATTCCGCGCCCCGGCCCTTTTCATTATTTAGCCGTTTTGTAGCGGGTTTTTACACGATCAAAAAGATTTCCAAAACCGAAGATAGGCCCCAACGAAAAAAGTTTCAGAAGTTTTTTTAACCCAAATTACAAATTAAAAAAAATAAAAATAACGCCACACTGGGAGGGCGCAAAATAACGCTGCCAAAACCGCCATTGTCGGGTTTCGTTCAACTTTCAAAAGTTATTCCCCTTCAAACGCGTAAATGAAAGCCCACAACACCCAAAGGAAGGGATTGAAAGCTTTGAAAGGGAAAAAAAAAAAAAGATTTTACTGACAGGTATGAGAAATTTGGGCGATTTTTAAACCCGACTGAAAACGCCCAAAAAAAAGGGGGGGGGCCCTTTGAAGCCCCACTTTTGCCCGATTTGACCCTTTAGTGGCTGGCAGATCCGACGTGAACCCCTGATTAAAATGCTGTTGCCTGAAAAATTTTAAATTTAAAAAAAAAAAACCTTCCTTTTCCCTTTTTGGGGTGGGCCCATATCCCCCTATTGAACAAGCCGTCCCTGGGAATTTCCTCCTCGTTTTATACCTGGGAGACCCAAAAGTGAACATTCAGTCATCTTCACCCAATACAGCTAGCCTTCAACATATTTTATGCCTAAAACTTTCTTACCCCTCTTTGTTGATTGATATCCCTTTAATTGTTCCATTTTTTGGTTTTTGAAAGATTTTTCAAAATATGAAAGATGGATGGTCATCAAAAAAACAATAAACAATTTAGTCTACAAGGGACCCAAAACCCTTTCCCTAAAAGGGGGGGGAAAAATCTTTAAATTTTTAAATTAAGTTTCCCTGCACCTGCTGGCCCCTTTTAAAATTAAACCAAAAAGTTTTAGTTGGGGGGAAAGGGTTTCCCGCAAAAGCCCCACCCAAAAAGGGGTTCCCCCGATAACCCCACCCCCTATGGGGGGTTTTTGGAAAAACCCCTTTTTGGGGGGAATTTTTTAGTGCCAAGAACCCTTAAAGGGGGATTAAATTTTTTTTAAATTTTAAAAAAAAGGGAAATCGGTTTAAAAAAAAGATTTTTTATTTACGGGGGCCTACCAAAAAAGGGCCCCCTGGGGGACGGGGCTGGGATTAAAAAAAACAACTTTAAAAAAAATTTAGGAAAAAAACCCCCTCACCACAACCGAGACACCACAAAACTACATAAGAGTGATCTAAGACAACAAAATTTGCATGGCAAAAAACATGACAACACATCATTTTGGGAGCAACATGGGCATGACAACAAAAGGGCAAAACAAAATGGGAGCAGCCCAAAATGGGAGCCCCATCATGGTTTCAAAAATGATTGGGCACAGACAACAGCACAAAGGGCCAAAAAGGTAGAGAAACAAAACAAAAATACTTTTGATTTATATAAGGGATAAAAACCCTTTCCTTAAAATTGGGGAAACTTTACTTTTTTTTTTGTTAAGTGCCTGCCCCCTCTTCCTTTTAAATTTTTCCCAAAAAATTTTTGTTTGGGGAAATTAGGTTCCCCGCAAGGGAAACCCCCCCAACTAAGGAGGTTCTCGATGAAACCCCCCCTCCCATTTTGGGGGTTTTTGGAATAAAAACCCTTTTTGGGGGGAATTTTCGTCCAAAAACCCAAGGTTTTCAAAGAACTTTGAGATTTAGAAGAACCCTTGTTGAAAAAAACCCCCAAAATTTTTTTGGGGGGGAGATGTGGCATCAAGGGGTCGTGCGGATTTGGGACCCCACCATTTAGTGGGTGACCTTTGGGTTTACTACCCTTTTCAATCTGTGGAGTATGGTCATGTTCTGCTTGTTGCTGTAATTCCACACACAGAAAGCAACTCCGATTTTTCGTAACCGAAATTTTTAAATGGTTTTTTGGGCTTTGTAATCAATTTTTAAAAGGGGGCAGCAGGCTTTGGGTTTTGAATCTCCCCAGTGGTGCAGGGGGGTCTAAGGCCAAAGGTATATTTTGGAATTTTCTGGAAAATGACACCAGATGGAGCATGTTGAGAAATGTAGCGGTTAAGTTAAAATTGCATGCTAGTAGTATAGCCACTAACCTCTCTGTCCAGTCCAGCAGCATTGACCCGAATCCAGCCTGTGACAGGGTTGATGACAAGCATGTTGGGACTCGGCTGTTCAGAGTCTTGACTTATAATAGTGTATCTGACATCAGAATTGGCTGAGCCACGCTTATCTGGATCGGTGGCTGTTACCTTCATGACCTCAAGGCCTGAGAATAAAATATTTCAACATAATACATTATTTTCATGGATGACATCAAGAAAAAAAAAGATTGAATATTGATACATTACTTTTATCCTAAACCTCAGCTTATGATATCTGACTAAATGTTGACTGAGACAAACCTGGTAGGGATGCTTCAGGGACACTCCCTGTAAAAGGATCTTGGGTGAATACCGGCTCGTTGTCATTCATATCAATTACTGTAAAATAAATCTCAATGGGCATTTCTGCTTCACCCGAACCAACTGCAACAGCATGAACCACAAGCTAAAGGGGAAAAAATATAATAACTTAATCAAAATAACACATGCATTCAAAGTTCTAGAATTCAAAAGACAAAACACAAACAGACATTACCATATATTTGTCTTGTTTACAAACATTACCATATATTTGTCTTGTTTACAAACATTAACATATATTTGTCTTGTTTACAAACTTTACTGGATATTGGTCTTGTCTCTCTCTGTCCAAAGGCTGGGTCACATAGAGAACCCCAGAGTTTTTGTCCACAGTGAACAGTCCCACAGGGGGTTGATCTGCTCCAGGACCAGTGATGTTGTACTGGATCTTCACATCTTTATCATTGTTGGACCTGATCTGAATGTAAATATTAACAATGTTAAAACCAGAGCAAAATCCTGAACCAACCAGATTTCCTGCCAACATAAACCTACAATCACTCACCTGCACCATACTCTTGGGGAAGGGGCCTCTGTCGTTCTCTGGGAAGTTAATGGGAGGAATGACCCAATCCCTTTTCCTTCTCACCAGACCTACCAAAGACTTTGGAAACTCCAGAACTGGAAGACTTGCAGGATATTTAGGCTGTCCGAAAAATATATTTACATGGATGACAACAATGATTAGTTATTGAGGAATGAAACGGACACTAAGTTGTAAGATCCACATTCTCACCTGAGAGACAATGCCAGCATCCTCATGCCCGAAACCCTCTGTGAGGAGATCAAATTAATATTAACACTTTTAAAGCAAACAATGCCACTACAGTATGTTGCTACTACTCTGCATAATGCATATTAAAATAATCTTGATTTGACAAATCTCCTTTATTAGCCAATATTCTAAACAGTAAAATAAGTCACCCTCAGTTTCTTCCCCTCCTGTCAGTGGATAGTGTCACGCCCTGGCTCTGGGGACTATGTTATGTTGAGCCAGGGTGTGTAAGTCTATGTTTAATTTTCTATGTTGGTCTGAGTGACTCCCAATCAGAGGCAACGAGTGTCAGCTGGGTGTCTCTGATTGGGAGCCATATTTAACTGTTTGTCTTGCACTTTGTGTTTTGTGGTTTCTTGTTCCTTTTGGTTTGTGTATCGAAGGACTTCACGTTTCGTTCTTTGTTTTGATCGTGTGATCTAGTCAATAAATATAAATATGTTCACCCGCAACGCTGCGCCTTGGTCCTCCTCCTTAAGCGATCGTGACAGAAGAAACCACCAAGACCAGACCAAGCAGCGTGTCCAGGAGCCATCGCTAATAGATCTCCGTGGCAGCTTCGACTGGGTCAAGCCCATTGAGGAGCTGAGTGACGAGGGTTGGAGACAGAGGAGCGAGAGGTGGGCGAGAATGTTGGAGGCCTGGTCCACGGGGAGGAGAGACCCCCAGAAAATTTTTAGGGGGGGGCTCACGACGTCGGGCAGGAGGAGGCCGCTATGGAGCGGTCCAGCGGGGTTGCAGAGGAGGCCGCCAGGTTACGGGGGCCACTGGTAGAAGAGGGGATGGAAGGTGTAGAGGCACGGCGAGAGGTACTGGCGTGTGTTGCCAGTCCAGTCCGGCCCGTTCCAGATCCCGGTGTAGAGCCAGTGGTGTGTGTCCCCAGTACGGTCCGGTCTATTCCTGCTCCCCGCACCAAACCTACGGTGTGCGTCGACAGCCCAGCCCGGCCCGTTCCTTCGCTCCGCACCGAGTCTGTGGTGCGCGTCGCCAGCCCAGTTCGGCCCATCCAAGCTTCCCGCACCAAGCCAGTGGTGTGCGTTGTCAGTCCGGCACGGCCCGTTCCTGCTCTCCGCACCAAGTCTGTGGTGCGCGTCGCCAGGCCGGTCCGGCCCGTCCAAGCTCCCCGCACAAAGCCAGTGGTGTGCGTCGTCAGTCCGGCACGGCCCGTTCCTGCTCTCCGCACCAAGTCTGTGGGGCGCGTCGCCAGCCCGGTCCGGCCCGTCCAAGCTCCCCGCACCAAGCCAGTGGTGTGCGTCGTCAGTCCGGCACGGCCCGTTCCTGCTCTCCGCACCAAGTCTGTGGTGCGCGTCGCCAGCCCAGTCCGGCCCATCCAAGCTTCCCGCACCAAGCCAGTGGTGTGCGTCGTCAGTCCGGCATGGCCCGTTCCTGCTCTCCGCACCAAGTCTGTGGTGCGCGTCGCCAGCCCAGTCCGGCCCATCCAAGCTTCCCGCACCAAGCCAGTGGTGTGCGTCGTCAGTCCGGCACGGCCCGTTCCTGCTCTCCGCAACGGGTCAGTGGTGCACGTCGTCAGCCCGGTCCGGCTCATTCCTGCTCCCCGCACCAAGTCAGGGGTGCGCTTCGTCAGCCCGGTCCGGCCCGTTCCTCCTCCACGCATCAAGCCAGGGGTGTGCGTCGTCAGTCCAGCACAACCCGTGCCTGGGTCATGTCCGGAGCCGGATCCGCCGCCGAGGCGGAGTGCCCACCCGGTCCCTCCCCTGTTGTGGTTATTTGGCGCGGCCGGAGTCCGCGCCTTTGGGGGGGGTACTGTCACGCCCTGGCTCTGGGGACTATGTTATGTTGAGCCAGGGTGTGTAAGTCTATGTTTAATTTTCTATGTTGGTCTGAGTGACTCCCAATCAGAGGCAACGAGTGTCAGCTGGGTGTCTCTGATTGGGAGCCATATTTAACTGTTTGTCTTGCACTTTGTGTTTTGTGGTTTCTTGTTCCTTTTGGTTTGTGTATCGAAGGACTTCACGTTTCGTTCTTTGTTTTGATCGTGTGATCTAGTCAATAAATATAAATATGTTCACCCGCAACGCTGCGCCTTGGTCCTCCTCCTTAAGCGATCGTGACAGATAGTCAAAGCCATTGCCTGACTTTAAAGTCTCAGACATTCTCCCCAGGGCCCAACCCTGAGGTTTGAAGGAAAACAAATATTGTAAAACATGATCTACACTTCCCTCTATATGCTATTGTACAGTGAAGTTAAACATTTTTATTTGGCTCTACACTCCAGCCTTTTACATTTGAGAGATAATGTTTAATATTAAGCGACAGTACAGAATGCCAGCTTTTATTTGAGGATATTTTCATACACATCTGTTCCACCATTTAAAAATGAAAGCACTTTATGTATCTAGTCCCTCCATTTGAAGAAGTCATAAGTATTTGGACAAATTCCCTTATAGTGAATTAAAGTAGTCAAACTGACACTACAAACTTGATGGATGAATTTGAGGTGTCTTTTGGATAATGTTTTGCCCAATAGGAACTGAAAAATATGGCTAGGTTATAGAATCGAAAGATCATTTAAATACGTGGGTGCTGGTTTTAGGCCGGTAGCAACCACCACAGGGTGTCCATCCAGAACACGAGGAACCAACATTTCAGTTTCAGGGGGTTTAATAAATGATCCACACACACACATCCAACACCACTCTGAAACTAATTGTGTCTGACAAGGATTGTGGTTCTGAAAACAGAGGTAAAACTTAGACTATAGCACTGATATGCTTAAAATGACTAACAAGCTAGAACAGGCTTGTGTATTAAAGAATGGGCTATACACTGTAGCAGGACATGTGTGTTCACATGGCAATAACCAACAGAGGCTATGGAAGTTGTTGACATGGTAAACTTAGTAAATATACTAATGTAAACAGTGCAGTATTTTAAGTACAGTGGGGGAAAAAAAGTATTTAGTCAGCCACCAATTGTGCATGTTCTCCCACTTAAAAAGATGAGAGAGGCCTGTAATTTTCATCATAGGTACACGTCAACTATGACAGACAAATCCAGAAAATCACATTGTAGGATTTTTAATGAATTTATTTGCAAATTATGGTGGAAAATAAGTATTTGGTCACCTACAAACAAGCAAGATTTCTGGCTCTCACAGACCTGTAACTTCTTCTTTAAGAGGCTCCTCTGTCCTCCACTCGTTACCTGTATTAATGGCACCTGTTTGAACTTGTTATCAGTATAACAGACACCTGTCCACAACCTCAAACAGTCACACTCCAAACTCCACTATGGCCAAGACCAAAGAGCTGTCAAAGGACACCAGAAACAAAATTGTAGACCTGCACCAGGCTGTGAAGACTGAATCTGCAATAGGTAAGCAGCTTGGTTTGAAGAAATCAACTGTGGGAGCAATTATTAGGAAATGGAAGACATACAAGACCACTGATAATCTCCCTCGATCTGGGGCTCCACGCAAGATCTCACCCCATGGGGTCAAAATGATCACAAGAACGGTGAGCAAAAATCCCAGAACCACACGGGGGGACCTAATGAATGACCTGCAGAGAGCTGGGACCAAAGTAACAAAGCCTACCATCAGTAACACACTACGCCGCCAGGGACTCAAATCCTGCAGTGCCAGACGTGTCCCCCTGCTTAAGCCAGTACATGTCCAGGCCCGTCTGAAGTTTGCTAGAGTGCATTTGGATGATCCAGAAGAGGATTGGGAGAATGTCATATGGTCAGATGAAACCAAAATATAACTTTTTGGTAAAAACTCAACTCGTCGTGTTTGGAGGACAAAGAATGCTGAGTTGCATCCAAAGAACACCATACCTACTGTGAAGCATGGGGGTGCAAACATCATGCTTTGGGGCTGTTTTTCTGCAAAGGGACCAGGACGACTGATCCGTGTAAAGGAAAGAATGAATGGGGCCATGTATCGTGAGATTTTGAGTGAAAACCTCCTTCCATCAGCAAGGGCATTGAAGATGAAACGTGGCTGGGTCTTTCAGCATGACAATGATCCCAAACACACCGCCCGGGCAACGAAGGAGTGGCTTCGTAAGAAGCATTTCAAGGTCCTGGAGTGGCCTAGCCAGTCTCCAGATCTCAACCCCATAGAAAATCTTTGGAGGGAGTTGAATGTCCGTGTTGCCCAGCGACAGCACCAAAACATCACTGCTCTAGAGGAGATCTGCATGGAGGAATGGGCCAAAATACCAGCAACAGTGTGTGAAAACCTTGTGAAGACTTACAGAAAACGTTTGACCTGTGTCATTGCCAACAAAGGGTATATAACAAAGTATTTAGAAACTTTTGTTATTGACCAAATACTTATTATCCACCATAATTTGCAAATAAATTCATAAAAAATCCTACAATGTGATTTTCTTGATTTTTTTTTCCTCATTTTGTCTGTCATAGTTGACGTGTACCTATGATGAAAATTACTAAATACTTTTTTCCCCCACTGTACATCTACACAACACCTGCACACCCCTTTCCTGCAGTCAAATGGCCAAATCGCCCTCTAGTGGCCTCATGGTTGGAATGTTAATATTTTTCATTATTTCACAATGAATAAAACATGTTTCTGCATAAAACGGTTTTGTTATATTTCAATCTTCTGTGATGTATATAAAGCGTAATATTGGTGAACAGGGAACTGAGGGCTAAGATGCTCTGGACCTACTGGGACTATAGGGGCTATAGACTGAGGACCTAGTAGGACAGAGGGTGAGGTGTCACCTACGACAGGATACTGAACACCTCGGTGAGGAGGGTCCTCCACGGGGACGTCAGGCGGGTCTTCCACGGGGACTTCAGGCGGGTCTTCCACGGGGACGTCAGGCGGGTCTTCCATGGGGACGTCAGGCGCGTCTTCCACGGGGACGTCAGGCGGGTCTTCCACAGGGACATCAGGCGGGTCTTCCACGGGGACGTCAGGCGGGTCTTCCACGGGGACGTCAGGCGGGTCTCCTAAGGCTGGAACTAGCAGGACACAGTTCAGAGGGGCTAGCATAAACCACAAGACTTGGACAGGCAGGTCACACTAGGCAGGGGCTGACAGGGCCTGGACAGCAGGCATGGACCGAGCCACTGCAGCAGAGATTGGATGGGGCTCCCAGGGTGTCTTTGGACACATTCGGAGGCATTGGTTGGAGCACAGTGGTAGGGTGCTCTCCCAGGGTGAGCTCAGGTAGCTCCACTGTTCATAGATAAGGCTGTAGGTCTTCCTGCTCCCAATCGGACAGGCAGGTGTGGATTGATCTTGGGTACAGAAAAGGGGTCGGCAGAATCTCTTTCGCTGAAGACAGCGACGGCACCACTGTGGGAACCATTTGAGACTGCGGCAGTAGCTTGTTGGAGCACGGTGGGGTGCTCCCCCAGGGTGAGCTCAGGTATCTCCTCTGTTCCTGGAGGAGACTGTGGAACCACTGTGGAGACGATTTGAGACTCCGTGGAAGGAGCTGGATGAAGCACAGAGGTGGGAGTGGCAAGCTGAGGCTCCATGGCAGGAGCGAGTGTAGTAGGCCCACTATTATCTTGAACTCCATGGTCAGCGCAGGCTAGATCTTCACGGCTAGGGTCGGCTGGAGCACAGTGGTGGGGTGCTCTGCCATGGTGAGCTCTGGTAGCTCCTCAGCCCTGGAGAAAGATGTAGCACCAATGTGAGGGTGTCCATAGCAAGGGTTGGATCCGAGACCAGGGCTGATGATGAAGCTGATGTGGAAGGGCGTAGCTTCTCAAGCATCTTCTGATATCTGGCTTCGCGGAGTTGGCCGTGTTGGCGCCGCAGAACCTCATTCTGGCGCTTCTGTTGTAGTATCTGTTGCATGACAATCTCTGAGATTATGTCATGTTTTTGGGCATCTTGGTGGCCCAGGTCCCTGTTTTCCCCGTCTAAGACACCTTTCAGTTGTAAGAGGAGAGAATTGTTGAAGGCCTGGCTGAGACGGTCAAGTGACAACTTGCAGTGTCCATCAGGTAAGTACTGGCGATGGTGGTCAGGTGGATAGTAGGAACCTTCCATCTTTCTGACTGCTTCAATGAGCTCATCTATCTCGTCACGCTGGCTGTGAGAACACACTGCGTCCTCTCCGGTTGTCACTGGCAGTCCACGCTCAGGTCAACGATGAACCCGGTGATCTCTGGTCGAGGTTCGACACTGATCCTCAGGATTTCTGGTCGAGGTTCTATGCTTATCTTGGTGATCTCTGTTCGAGGTTAGCCTTAGGTGGGAACCCGGTGAATTTGCAACCGATGAAAAGGCTGAGGCTCTGTCCTCTATTCTGCTGGTCAGCCTGGGTGGGGACTTGGACCGGTGATGAGTCGTTGAAGGGGAAGATGGCCATTTTGAATGCAGAATGTCTCGAGTGCTCAAGAGAACCCTCTAGCTGCTCTCCCTCGTAGGAGTGGTATGTGGATGTGTGTGGTAGTCTGTTCCTTGACTCGTATCCAAGCCATAATTATCAAGAGATTGTGGCAGGTGAGCTGGTCTGCGAGGATGGATGACATCTTATGGAGGATCTTCTCTGTTAACTGGCATCCTTGGGCTGTAGCAGTTACTGGATCAGGCTCAAAAGGACCATGACAAATTGGTGGGAAACGTAGGTGCTGGTTTTAGGCCGGTAGCAACCACCACAGGGTGTCCATCCAGAACACGAGGAAACAGTATTTCAGTTTCAAGAGGTTTAATTAATTATCCACACTCACAAATCCAACACCACTCTGACAGTAATTGTGTCTAACAATGATTGTGGTTCTGAAAACAAAGAGGTACAACTTAGACTATAGTACTGATATGCATGACATGACTAAAAAGCTAGCACAGGCTTGTATATAAACAGCACAGGCTATACCACTGTAGCAGGAAATGTGTGTTCACATGGCAATAACCAACACAGGCTATGGAACTTGTAGAAATAGTAAATATACTAATGTAAACAATGCAGTATTGTAAAGACGTCTACACAACATTAACACATTAAACATGAGCGATATACACAGAAAATTGCATAGCAGCACACGTGGGAAATTCGGTTAATCGATAACAGGAATGCTAAATACTAATGCATTCTGAATGGAAATTACAGAGGCACAAGATTCATACCCCCCAAAAAATGCTTATCTATCCTGTTATTGATGAGAGGTTAGCATGTTTTGTTGTAGCCTCTGAAAGGCACCTTACTCATCATTATTCATGATTTATTCATGATTTTTCTTAATCATGAATATGGTCCTCTGTAGCTCAACTGGTAGAGCACGGCGCTTGTAACGCCAAGGTAATGGGTTTGATCCCCGGGACCACCCATACACAAAAATGTATGCACGCACGCATGAATGTAAGTCGCTTTGGATAAAAGATTCTGCTAAATGGCATATTATGGCATTATCATGACTTATTTTTAAATGTTCAGAAACATCTTAGAAGGAAATTCCAGTCACCATTTACCGTTCAATTCCTATTATGCAAAACATAACCCAAAACACAACAAAAACAAACTGCAAACGCATCCAACAAATTTGTAGAGTCTCAAGCTTGATGTAGTCATTGAGTGCAAGGAATATGGGACCAAATACTAAACCTTTGACTACTTTGATACACTATAAGTGAATTTGTCCAAGTACTTATGACTTGCTCACATGGCGGGGACTAGACAAATAAAGTGCTTTCTGTTCTAAACTGTAAAACAGATGTGTATAAAAGAAAAACTCAAATAAAAGGTGACATTCTGTACTGTCGCCTCATATGACACATTTGATCTCAAATCCAAAATGCTGTAGTATAGAGCCTAATTTAAATGGTATATTTAATGTCCAAAAACACATGTAGGGGAGTGTACTTCACATGTCACGCCAAAGAGGTACAGTACAGTGCCTCGCAAAAGTATTCATCCCCCTTGCCTTTTTTCCTATTTTGTTGCATTACAACCTGTTATTGAAATTGATTTTTTTGGTGATTTCATGTAATGGACATACACAAAATAGTCCAAATTGGTGAAGTGAAATGAAAAAAAATTACTTGTTTCAAAAAATTCTAAAAAATAAATAACGGAAAAGTGGTGAGTGCATATGTATTCACCCCCTTTGCTATGAAGCCCCTAAATAAGATCTGGTGCAACCAATTACCTTCAGAAGTCACATAATTAGTTAAATAAAGTCCACCTGTGTGCAATCTAAGTGTCACAGGATCTGTCAAATGATCTCAGTATATATACACACCTGTTCTGAAAGGCCCCAGAGTCTGCAACACCACTACGCACCACCAGGCAAGCGGCACTATGAAGACCAAGGAGCTCTCCAAACAGGTCAGGGACAAAGTTATGGAGAAGTACAGATCAGGGTTGGGTTATAAAAAAATATCAGAAACTTTGAACATCCCACAGAGCACCATTAAATCCATTATTAAACAATGGAAAGAATTTGGCACAACAAACCTATCAAGAGAGGGCCACCCACCAAAACTCACGGCCCAGGCAAGGAGGGCATTAATCAGAGAGGCAACAAAGAGACCAAAGATAACCCTGAAGGAGCTGCAAAGCTCCACAGCGGAGATTGGGGTATCTGTCCATAGGACCACTTTAAGCCGTACACTGCACAGAGCTGGGCCAGAAAAAAGCCATTGCTTAAAGAAAAAAATAAACAAACATGTTTGGTGTTCGCCAAAAGCCATTTGGGAGACTCCCCAAACATATGGAAGAAGGTACTCTGGTCAGATGAGACTAAAATTGAGCTTTTTGGCCATCAAGGAATACACTATGTCTGGCACAAACCCAACACCTCTCATCATCCCTAGAACACCATCCCCACAGTGAAGCATAGTGGTGGCAGCATCATGCTGTGGGGATGTTTTTCCATCGGCAGGGACTGGGAAACTGGTCAGAATTGAAGGAATGATGGATGGCGCCAAATACAGGGAAATTCTTGAGGGAAACCTGTTTCAGTCTTCCAGAGATTTGAGACTGGGACGGAGGTTCACCTTCCAGCAGGACAATGACCCTAAGCATACTGCTAAAGCAACATTTGAGTGGTTTAAGGGGAAACATTTAAATGTCTTGGAATGGCCTAGTCAAAGCCCAGACCTCAATCCAATTGAGAATCGGTGGTATGACTTAAAGATTGCTGTACACCAGCGGAACCCATCCAACTTGAAGGAGCTGGAGCAGTTTTGCCTTGAAGAATGGCCAAAAATCCCAGTGGCTAGATGTGCCAAGCTTATAGAGACATACCCCAAGAGACAAGCAGCTGTAATTGCTGCAAAAGGTGGCTCTACAAAGTATTGACTTTGGGGGGGGTGAATAGTTATGCACACTCAAGTTTTCTGTTTTTTTGTCTTATTTCTTGTTCGTTTCACTAAAAAAAATATTTTGCATCTTCAAAGTGGTAGGCATGTTGTGTAAATCAAATTATACAAACCCCCAAAAAATGTCAAGGGGGGTGAATACTTTCGCAAGCCACTGTATATGATATCATATGCATGCATCTTCATATTTATAAATGTTGTTGTATATAAGTATATAAGCACAAGATATTGGATCATGCACTTGCGTGCCCCACATTCAGAAAAGAGTAAGAACTTAACAACATATCTTATTAAGCAAAACAGTCTTTTCATTTTTTGATTTGACATTCTAGTGAACATTAAAATATAGACCTATTCAATAATCAAATTTAGCCAGAGCTCACCCAGATCAAGAAGATGGTGATGTGAGATGCCATCGGTCGGAATAATAGTAATTTCAACAACTGATCAATATTAAAAACATGACAAAATAACTAAATTTGGCTAAAGTGAAATTTCTCATCAACCACTTTAGCATTCAGTGTCAGTTTGTCACGCCACAACTTCCTGATCGAGAATAGAAGTGACACTCTTCAAAAGACCACCACATGGTTATGAAGAATGGATGCATGGTCTGAAAGATATATTGCAAAACTATCACTACCACAGTATTGAAAACTAGTTAAGTGTTATAAACAAGGCCTCAGGTCTATAAACTAATGACTGGACAAGCAGGC